CTGTTCCAGGTTCCGGCTATGGGTCCGGCGCTGAGTCGGAGTTCCACCGTGCTCTCTGACAGCTACTCCATGCTCCACGCGGCCTACCTGCACCCTGCAACGCACCCTTACCTGCACAAGGCGGAGCCTTTCTTCCTAACACCCGGTACGTGCAGACCGACCTTCGTAACTTCCACCGAGCATGAATTTGAAGGAAACATCTTCCAAAGTAATGGGCATGTTCACTTGGTTCGATGTATGTTCTGATAACATCTTTTTTCAAGTACGAAGATAATTTCTTTATAGAGTAAGATCACTGGCACTGTAATCAATAAGTTATGTTCTTGTGGAGGTGTGAGTTGGGAGTTCCTTCAGGGTCCAGAAGTGTGCAGAACTGATGTCCTCAGCGTTGACTTCTTGTCTGCTCAGGCCTAGGTTTCGGAGGCCTGTTTGCGGGCGGGTCAGGCGATCTGGGGGCCAAGCATTGTCGACGGCGGAAGGCAAGGACCGTGTTCTCGGACCACCAGCTGACGGGTCTCGAAAAACGGTTCGAGGCCCAGCGGTACCTCTCCACGCCAGAACGGGTTGAGTTGGCGAACGCGCTAAACCTCTCCGAGACTCAGGTGAGTTTAACACGAGACTCAGGTGACAGTATATTGGGATCCGTGGCAGGCGATGCCAGACCTAGATTATGTGGGGCTCAGCTTAGAATCAAGCGACGTGTCATCAGGAGAGAAATACGTGCGCCTTGGGTGAATCTGGCACTGAGACTATTTGAGGCGCTCGGGTGGAGACTGATGAAACCTAGAAGAATATGACGTTCAAGCGAAAATGTCGTGGTGCTCAGAAAGTCAGAAAAGAATGGCACGAGATCCAAAGACGAGAATGAGTTTGGGCTAAGGAAATTCCGATTTGAAACTCAGATTAGAATGTCGTGAGGTTCAAGTAGATAATACCGTTGATAGTTTCAAAAGACAAAGTTGTGAAGTCGACGAAACACTGGTGGGTAACTCAGAATGGACTGCAATCAAACTGAGGTGGCATTTCTCTGAGGCTCAGGTGAATATGGTTGCGTGGGAGGTCCAGGCGATAGTCATGAGAGAGCGAAACACAACGCAAGGTTAAAGTTACAGACCACAAACAACACGAAAGACATGTGAAAATGCCTAAAACAAGAGAAATTAGAGAAACAAAAGTGGTAAAGGAACAACGTTATTGTCAAATGCACGGTTGATTTAAGCAATGTAATTCAGTTTTTACTGACTGACTCCTTGGTACATATTTTAATAGATCAGACCGTCATGAAATTCAATGAGCTTGTGTAATCCGAAATTTCATCACGTCTTTACAAAGCCCCTCTCCTTAGCCACTTGAATCCAGTAAGGAAATTCACTGTCTCTTCCAAAACCAGACAAAATCTTCAATGCCGTCTCTTTGCTCGAAGATTTCTTGCCATAATTCTGAATGAATTTGTCATTTCTTTCATAGTTTTCCAAAGTAACCCTAAGAGTGTCACTGAGACCTTCTCTCCTTTCCAATCCTCTGTCCTCCTCAGCATTCTTAAATAAATCCGTGTCTCAGACTGAGATACTTGACACTTGAGAATTTAGTAGAGAGCGAGTTTTGTAGATGAGAGAATCCCAACCACAAAGATAAATCCTACGACATTAGTGGTCGTAATCAACGGAACGTTTTGTGTGCCCAGGTGAAAACGTGGTTCCAGAACCGTCGCATGAAACACAAGAAACAGCTGAGGAAGTTGAGTGAAGACGCAAAACACAGCAGCGCCGAGAGGACCGGCTCGGGTGAGTACCGCAGACGTTTCGGATTATCTAGTTCAAACGGCCCCTTGAAATTTAACGGGGAACTATTTATATCGTCGCCTTCATCCCTTCATCTCTTAATTTCTTTCCATTATCCGTGTCCCCCTTTCTCTCAGGCCCTGATCGATGTCCACTCAGATCAAGAATGAAAAAGTCTAACCATCATCGTTTCAGACACTCACATAAAAACATTTCTAAAAGCTCACTAAAGCAGAAGCACTTTCAGAAAGAAAATATTGCTCACTAAGACGTTTTAAGTGTCTTTTATGTTTTACCTTAAGCGGAAAATATCTTATGGATCATTTAAATGAAAAAGTTATTTGGATATTATCCATCGTCTAGTAAAATAATAAAATAGAACGACGTTTCGGAGATGGGGCTCTATCTCCGTCTTCAGTTACCTACTCTGTCCGGAGATAGGGATTAGGCTTCTATGATCTCCGTACGTCGTAGAGAATGACTTATCCCTGTCAGAGCTAAAATTCGAAGGCGCACAGAGAAAACAAAAATGTCAAATGCCCAATTCAATGGCGAAATACAGAAGCATGTAACATTAAATTCAATTTTAGCGGCTCTGAAGATGTATACAGTATGTTCTTCCGAAACGTTAGTACATACGTATAAGTTCGTAAGGCTTTACAATCTGAAAAATTAATATTTTCATTTTATTGTGGCCTACAGACGAACTAATCTTTCCTCCTGACAGGAGAAGGGAAATTTATGGCCTCACCATGGAATATTCCTATAGGCTACCAACGGTACATGAATAATAATCCCCACAATTGGCAAACAGTTATCACGCGTATTTGGAAGTTTTTGTGGGAAAATACTGGCTTTTAAGACACCCGTTATTTAATAACCTAGACCACGCACGACTGCAAAGGGCTGCTGTGTCGCGGGTCATATTTATATAGTATGAATGTATTAGTGAGTAGAATGCGACCAGGAATTCCTGTGGTAAAGTTCCTCTAAATTGTTTTTTTTTTCATATTTTTTAATAAACTGCATTAAATGTTTAACCACATTAAGGGGAGTTGGCCCTATTCATCCCTTATCCCTCAGCCCTCAGCGACGCTGATTGAAATGTTTAAATACCAGACAAGAATAAAACAGTTTATAATGTAAAACTGGTGTTTTAATTCCCATGTAAAACATTGCAAATATACAGGAATCTGTTTTTATAATTTATATTCTGCGGTTGGTAAAACCCAATGCAACGTACGCTTATAACAACACAAACAGAATTTTATTAATTTTCGAGCCTGTGGTTACACGAAATCCAGGGTAACTGAATTTTATAAGATTTTCTCATGATATTTCTAAAGTTAACACATAATGGAGAGGTAATGCTTGCCTATCTGTCTACTGACTTGTTTCGTCCGACTAACCACTTAACGGAATTGGGCTAAATATTAAGGCCTTCGACAAACTATATTAAAAATGAAGATATCTGTCTTCTGGGAAGGGGCTTCGTGTAGTGTGGTAGAAGTCCGTCGCCCTGACGATGGAGGCAGCAAGGACCTCTGAAAGTTGGTAAACTTCTGCCAGGCTACACGGCGCTACAACCCAGAAGACAGATATCTTAAACTTCTTGTGCTGTGGGTGTGTTAGTACAACTGCAGTTGAAATCTTAGCGTGTACAATTGAAATTATGTAGATCATCATGCAGATATGCATTAAGAGTCGTCCTGTCAGATAAAGACACTCATTTTCTTATATTAGTTAGTCGCTTTCAAGAAACTTTTTTTTTGCAGAAGAGACGACGCTTTCGGAATGTCAATTTAGGCCTTCTTGTTCAAAAGACGTAATTAGAATTACCTTTTTCATCATTAGCAACGAGTGAGTCCCTCTTCTGAGCGGGGAAAAATTCACGTACAGCGAACGTATCGATTTTAAGCGGTGGTATCATCAGGATGGTACCTTCTTAGACAGAAACCAAATACAGACAGATCCCAAACTAACGAAGGATATTTCCTTCAGTAAATATTTATTTAAATTACATTGTCTTGGGTTCTTATATAATACGATTTGTAGTTAATAATTTTATACCTCGACAGGAAATCGTTAAAACTTGAAAAGAAACAGTTCAGTCTCTGGAAACGAAGTTAGAATATGAGGTTATTTATAGAAAATTAGATTTGTTACTTCATAATCGACCAGCCTGCTTCCTGTAAATATGTTTTATTAAAACTTCGGAGATGAAATGGGCAGGATGCATCTCATAAAGTCTCCTCCACTTCAATAACAATTTTCATTTCATTATCCGCGTCTGTTAAAACGGCTGCATTGCCGTCAGTCTGTTGCGGAGGAGATATCGCTGTTACCAAAAGAAAATGGACACGGGAGATTCATTCATGACGTAACATATCATAAATCGTTCGGAAAACATCACTACAAAAACTTGGGTTATAAAACGTGCTCAGTGTCTACCTCAGATTACGGTGAATATAAATACCACCCGAGTTCCTCATACTACATCACTAAAGGACTTAACTGTCTTTCTTCTGTACTATATGAATTATACACCAACTCCTTCCGTATGAACAGGAACTGACAACAGAGGTTAGCCGACGAGATCTGAATAAAGAAACTGCATGATTCGGGTTGTTATGTTTCAAACAGTCACTGGAATTAAGTTCTTTTCCGGCTTAGGCTATCTAATTACATCTGTTTCATGTTAAGAGAAAGTCAAGAATTAGATAATTCAGCAAAAATGTTGGAAAATCCTAAATTTTTGGAAAGAAACACTTGTGTCTCTTTGTTTGACCCCCCAAAAAAATTGGTAATGCCAAATGAAAGTTCAAAACATGTATTTTCACAATTAAGATAGCTTGTCTTCTGATTTATTGCGCTGTATAGCAGTAGCAAGCACCTCTGAAACGTCGGTAAACGCCTACCGTACTACACGGACCAATGCCCCAAAAGATAACAATCTTCATACTCGCCGCCACGAAAACCTCAAGTCTGACAAATTCATTTAATCATGTAAAGGGAACGAACTATTTATTGCGAATTTGTCCTTACAAAACAGAGAGTCATAAAATAATTCTCCTTCCCAATTTCCGGACGTTTCGGGCAGCGCGTTCGTCGAAGAAGGACGCAGCCTTTGACTGCACAAAAAAAATTTAATTATGAGTACGCCCTTTAGAGCTCAAAACTTTCCGTAAAGCAGTTTGGGTTTAAGGAGTAAAATCGAATGCCCTCAACTACACGATTTTCCCTCGTGCAGTCTTTTCATATCCCAGAAGTTCAAAGCTCGTTGGGGGAATGCAATTTTAAATCAGTTGAATACACTCAGAAAATTGTGACGACAGGCCTGAAAGGTATTTTGGAAAATTAATACTAGCATATTAATCATCATTAAATTCTGACTACGAATTTTTGGAAACATTTCCTATTGGCTCTTTGCACGGAGGATCGGCCAATGTAAGGCCCCGACCTACACATGGGAGCACAAGACACAAAACGCGGACATATGATTCTCGTCTCATTCATGTTAAGTACAGGGTGAGCACAAATTATCTGAGCGGTTTAAAATGTATATTCAACAAAATCCAAACGACATACTGAATGAAACGTGTACCATTGGAAGGACAACTTGAAACAATTGTTTGCAGCATGTGGAAAAATATGAGACGTAATTCCAACGCTGGCCACTAAAAGCGCCACATTTTAACATGGAAGTAAAAATGGCGATCCAGCCTGAGGATGATAAATGAATTGTAACTTGTTTCGAAAACGCAGTCGAACAGTAAAAAGTAAAAGTTTGTCCCACTATACGCCATGTAGGCGTTTGGGGTGAGTGGAGGTATAGCTCCTCTCTTCCTTGACCTCGGCACTAGATGGGGGTGAGTGGTCAGCATCACGCCCCGGCCGGCTTTACCCCCGGAAAAGGACCCCGGTACCCATTGTAGAGGAGGCTGGGTGTGCCCCAGAGCCGGTCTGGACGCAGAGGCTAGAGGAAAAATCCTCTGCCCCCGTCGGGGATCGAACCCCGGTCGTCCAGCTCACCTCATGTGCTTTCATTCTGTATGACGAAGCACGTAAACTGAATGGTAGAGAAACCGAAGAACACCCTGTAGTACCAAATCACGCAACTTACAGTTCAACTTGGAATAAGTGAGGTTAGGTTTCTAAAGCAGTTATTCAATTCTGCCTCTGTTCATGTCATAGAATAGTATTTAAGCATAACTCCTACTTGCGCTGAAATCTGTTGAAGAAATTTTTCCTCTGAGACCACACGAATTCCTTCCTATTCTTCAATGGATCTCGACGTGAAATTAAAAATCCAGTCAAATTAGTGCGAATTTAAAGTAACGGATCTGCTTAAAACATATTTTGCATTAAATAATGACCAGTTTACTGTGGCACTGAATATTGTATATCATGAGACGGGTTTCAGTTTGTACATGGGACCTAATGTTACTTAATTTAACGTTTTACATAAAAGCGCGGGTTATGTAGTACGTTTAGCCTGGAATTTCAAACAATTTAAATATGATTTCAGGAGCTAACAGGATTAATTTGCAACATCAAAGAATCCAACTGTTTCGATACAAAGCTAAACGCAATACAACCACGGATGTCTGTTAAGTTAATTAGTGATTTAGTGTTTCAGACGAAAACTGGCGTACGTATTATCATTCTAATTAGAGTCTGGGCGCGCAGTCAGCTTGTTTAATGTCTAAGAGAGTTTGGGCAGGCATTTATGATGAGTCACTGGTCTCTGTCTACGCAATAGCTGCTGTTATTATTAGACCCACACTCCACAGCTGTCAACTATTATCTATATATTACATAAAATATATCTGATGAAAAAGAATCCAGCTTCCGAAACGTCGTAAATTTATAATTTAGGTAATAGGCAAAGTCCAAACGATCAATTTTACATATTATAAAACAGTACAATCAGAAACCTTCAAACTTCGACTATTAAATTTCCTTCAAAATACAGGTTACAGGCCTGTAAGCGTAAAATACACAGTTCCTTTCTCCTGAAATCCCAAAATATTATAGTAGATCTAATGGACGTTTAAGACGATAAACACGAGTTATATTTATATTACTTTTATAAGAAAATATTAGGCATCCTGTTACGAAAATGAGTCCACAAGTCTCCTTCATGGAATCCGTAATTTCAACACGGATAATCAAAATGGTTGCCATCCTATCCCTAAACAATTCGCATATTTTAAAAAAATATATTCTCTCTGATACGCATTTTAATATTACCTTTCAACCTATGCCTAGGTCCCATCAAGTGGCCTCTTAGAAAATTTCAGCAAAAATTCTGCGTATACTTCTTGCTTCACATATAAATCTCTTTGCTGTAATAACCCTAATCGAAAGCAAACATTAGCTTATACATAAACCGTTCACTTCTCTTAAATTTCAGACAATTTAACACAAAATTACTACATTGACTAATCACCGACCGAAAGGCGTATGAAATACTAAAAAAAATATAAAACTGTCAACTGGAAGTAAATGTTATCGTAACGCTTCGAAAGTTTTGTAAACGGAAACAACTTTTCGATACAGAGGATGTCCGTCCTCTGGGTTATAGCACCGTAAAAGTTCACTAACGTTTCGGAGGTCCTTTCCGCCGCCATCGTCAGGGCGACGAGTGACTTACTCGTCTCCCTGGAGTCTCATCTCTCTTACGACCACACAGTCATCTCAACACACGTTTTTTAATCCTCACAGTCTTTTCTGGAATGTTACGTCGTGTGGCCTACTCCTTGAGTTAACCTACCAACCGTCTACCAGATTACACGCGTGACGTCATAGACGACATTCATCTTCATTCTCGCCGCCTTCAGGACCTCAAGCCTCGCTCTGCAGGCCAGAACGTGCTGCTAGCTAGCAAGTTTCGGTGTCAGTAACACTTCTTGGCAAACAGCCGGTGGCTGACATCACAAGTCTCGCTCTCAACTTTGATCTAATTAAGTTAAACTCCACTGAAGTTCATCAAGATGGCGAGCTCGATTCTGAGCTGCCGGCCGGAGAGTTTCGCAAGTAATACTGTGGGAGGGGGGGCCCAATTAAGGGCACAAGTTACAAGTCTTCACGTCTAATTACCCTGCCAAGATTCCGCACCGAAATGGCTGTAAAGACACTCGGTGTTTCATAAAATATGTCTTTCAAATTGACATCCCTTTAAGTTAAATTCCGCCGTTCTCATTGGCACACGGGGTAAGACTGTTTTAAGTCTGCAAATGAGGGTTCGAATCTCGCCCGGGGCATGTTTATTACGAATTGTACCTCTGTGTTGTGCCTCATCTAACGAGACACATCTCCAGTGTAAAAGTATTTGATTCACAAATTACCTAAGTATGAAGCTGATAGTTGCTCAGAAACTTCATTGCCATTATATATTACAACAGGAACATGTCACTTCGCTTAGACAGATTAAACCAACCTAAATCATGAACCGTATTTCATTAATATCTATAAGATGGTAAAGTTGCGTCATATTGTGATATAATAAGTATATATTAAATCTTGTCCGTCTAATCACAATAATTCTTATTAAATATTAAAATATTACAATAATTAACATTTCAAC